ATCCCTGTGTCCCTGGTATGAATCCCACTTGATCATGATGTATGATCCTTTTGATGAATTGCTGAATTCTGGTGGCCAAAATTTTGTTGAGAATTTTTGCATCTGTGTTCATCAGCGATATTGGCCTGTATTTCTCCTTTTTCATGCTGTCCTTGTCAGGCTTTGGTATCAGCGTGATGTTGGCCTCGTAGAATGTGTTAGGAAGTGTTCCATCCTCCCTAATTTTGGAATAGCTTGCAAAGGATAGGTATTAAATCCTCTCTGAAAGTTTGGTAGAATTCCCCAGGAAAGCCATCTCGTCCTGGGGTTTTATTCTTTGGGATGCTTTTGATTGCTCTTTCGATCTCTTTCCTTGTGATTGGTCTGTTCAAATTGTCTGCTTCTTCTCGAGTGAGCTTTGGGAGATTGTAGGAGTCCAAGAATTTATCCATTTCCTCTAGGTTATCTGTTTTTTTGGCATGTCGTTTTTTTGTAGTATTCTCTTATAATCCGTTGTATTTCTGCGGAGTCTCTTGTTATTTCTCCTCTTTCATTTCTGATTTTGTTTATTTGAGCTTTCTCTCTTTTTTTCTTTGTAAGTCTGGCTAGGGGTTTGTCAGTTTTATTTATCTTCTCAAAGAACCAGCTCTTTGTTTCATTGATCCTTTCTACTGCCTTTTTTGTTTCAATAGCATTTATTTCTGCTCTGATTTTTATTATTTCTCTCCTTCTGCTGACTTTGGGCTTTGTTTGTTCTTCTTTCTCTAATTCAGTTAGGTGTAGTTTAAGATTGCTTATTTGGGATTTTTCTTGTTTGTTAAGATGTGTCTGCATTGCAATGAATTTTCTCTTAATACAGTTTTTTCTGTATTCCATAGGAGTTGCTATGGCATGTTATCATTTTTGTTTGTCTCCAGGTATTTTTTTCTTCTTTAATTTCTTCAATGATCCATTGCTTGTTCAATAGCATATTATTTAGTCTCCACATCCTTGTGCCTTTCTCACCTTTTTTCTTGTAATTAATTTCTAGCGTTACAGCATTATGATTAGAGAAGATGCTTGTTATTATTTCAACTTTTTAAAATTTATAGAGGCTTGCCTTGTTTCCCAGCGTATGGTCTCGCCTTGAGAATGTTCCATATGCACTTGAGAAGAATGTGTATTCTGCTGTTTTTCGATGGAGTGTTCTATATATGTCTATTAAGTCCAACTGTTTTAGCTTTTCGTTTAGATCCACTGTTTCTTTGTTGATTTTCTGTCTGGATGATCTGTCCATTGATGTGAGTGGGGTGTTGAGGTCCCCTACTATTATTGTGTTATTTTTTTTATCTTCTTTTAGGTTTGTTAATAGTTGCTTTATGAACTTTGGTGGTCCTGTGTTGGGTGCATAGATATTTATAAGCATTATTTCTTCTTGATGAAGTGTCCCTCTGATCATTATATATTGGCCCTCTATGTCTCTCTTTACCTGCCTTATCTTGAAGTCTGTTTTGTCTAAGTAGTGCGACACCTGTTTTCTTTTGCTTGCTGTTTGCTTGGAGTATTGTCTTCCACCCCTTCACTCTGATCATATGTTTGTCCTTGGAACTGAGGTGTGTTTCCTGGAAGCAAAAAATTGTTGGATCTTGTTCTTTAATCCATTTTGCCACTCTGTGTCTCTTTATGGGAGAGTTCAATCTGTTTACATCGAGGGTCAGTATTGATGCATGAGAGCTTAATGCTGTCATTCTGTTGCTCGTTTTCCGGTTTTCCTGTGTTTCCTTTGTTTCTTGTCCTGTGTGATTTAGCCTACCCATTCACTTCTGCAATTTCTTTATGCTGGGTTTCTTAGATTTTTCCTTACTTGTTTTGTGTCTCTCTTCTGTTTTTTAATTTAGTGGCTACCCTGAAGTTTGTATTCAGAATCTCGTGTATAACAGTCCATTTTCTGGTGGTCTCTTACTTCCTTAGCCTAGGCTGTTTCAGTCCCTTTCCTCCTCCCCTCCTAAATTATTATTTTCATCTCTTATTCCAACCTGTGTTGTGAGTTTGTGGTTAGAGTGATAAGATTGTCTTTGCTTTGGTGATTTACTTCCCTTTATCCTAATGCTATAGTTGAATATTTGCTCTCCTATTCCAATTCTATCTGTCTCCCTACTCTGTGTTTTGTGGCCCCTTTCTCCCTTTTTTTCTTTTTTCAGTTATGAGAGCCTTCTTGAGTATTTCTTGTAGTGAAGGTCTTGTGACTACGAATTCCCTTAGCTTTTGTTTGTCTGGAAAAGATTTAATTTCTCCCTCATATCTCAAGGATATTTTTGCTGGATAGAGTTTTCTTTGCTGAAGATTTTTATCCTTTAAAGTTTTGCATATGTCACTACAATCTCTCCTAGCTTATAAGGTTTCTGTAGAGAAACCTGCTGAATGTTTGATAGGCGTTCCTGTGTAGGTTATTTTCTTCTGCCTTGCTGCCCTGAGAATGCTTTCTTTGTCGTTCATTTTTGCCATTTTTACTGCTACATGCCTTGCAGTAGGTCTTTTTACGTTGATAAATCTAGGAGATCTGAAAACTTCCTCCACACACATTTCTCTCTCAATCCCAAGCTTTGGGATGTTCTCTTCTATTATTTTGTTGAGCACGCTTTCTGTTCCATTTTCCTTTTCCATGCCCTCAGGAATACTGATTATTCTTAAGTAGCATTTTCTCATTGAGTCAGCTATTTCTCAGAGATCCTCTTCAGTTTTTTTAATTCTTAGTTCTCTTTCTTCCTCTGTCTGGAGCCATTCTGCCTGTCTATCTTCGATTATGCTAATTTGCTCCTCTATGGTGTCTACACGGTCATTCAGGGAATCCGTATTCTGTCTTATCTGATCCATTGTATTTTTCATCTGTAGTATTTGTGATTGATTCTTCTTTATAGTTTCAATCTCTTTTGTGAAGTAACTCCAGAGCTCATTGACTTGTTTCTCTATATTTCCCTTTATCTCATTGAGCATTTTGATGATAGCTGTTTTGAAGTCATCTTCACTTAGTTTATCTATTTCCAATTCCTTAGGACATACTTGCGTGTTTTTATTGTTTTCCTTTTGGACTGGAGCTCTTATAAATTGCTGGATGGTAGAGGAGCAGTTTTTGTGCATGATGCTATTTTTCGGTAGCAGTTACAGCCTGTCGTCACTAGATGGGGGTCAAGAGCCACGCATTCTGAGCCCTCCACCTTCAGCCACCATGGTGGCAGGCAGCATGGGTTTCCGGAGGAGGGGCACTTTCTCATGCACAGCGACCTCAATTCGGATCAACTCGCTCTCTGGTCTCCTGGGGCCCTGGCTTGCTGGGGTTTCCCCACGTGAAAGCTGTCCCCCATTAGAGGGTTTCCACTGCACGGGCAGTGGGAGTTCTCCATGATCCCTTGATGTGCGGCCCCTCCCCCACTCTTTCCCCCGCCCCTGGCAGCAATCCCAGTCTCTAGGGGAAGGAATGAAGTTCTCTCTTACCCCATTCCAGCTCCTCCAAGGGGGGCTCCAGCCTCTCCGCACTTCGTCATTTGGCTGCTGCGGGTCTCTGACGATTTGTCTTCTTAAGATTTCTTTTTTGGTTGGAAAGCAGTTGCTCTTTTTGGTTGTAATTTGGAGGGGAGAGAGTCCCTGGTGCACTCATGCCGCCATGTTGCTGACGTCACTCTGATTATGATGTGTTCTGATGTAATTTTCTTCAATTTACTTCTGCTTGGAGTTTGTTGAGCTTTTTGGATCTGTCGTTTTATTGTTTGGAAAGTTTTCAGCCATTATTGCTTCAGAGTTTTCTTTTTTTTTCTTTTTTGAGGAAGATTAGCCCTGAGCTAACATCTGCTGGCAATCCTCCTCTTTTTGCTGAGGAAGACTCCCCTGAGCTAACATCCGTGCCCATCTTCCTCTACTTTATATGTGGGATGCCTGCCACAGCGTGGCTTGCCAAGCAGTGCCATGTCTGCACCTGGGATCTCAACCGGCAAATCCCAAGCCCTGAACCAGTGAATCCCAGGCCGCGGAAGCAGAATGTGCACACTTAACTGCTGCACCACCAGGCCAGCCCTCTGCTGAGTTTTTTTATTTTTTTTTAAAGATTTTATTTTTTCCTTTTTCTCCCCAAAGCCCCCTGGTACATAGTTGTATATTCTTCGATGTGGGTCCTTCTAGTTGTGGCATGTGGGACGCTGCCTCAGCGTGGTTTGATGAGCAGTGTCATGTCCGCGCCCAGGATTCGAACCAACGAAACACTGGGCCGCCTGCAGCGGAGTGCGCGAACTTAACCGCTCGGCCACGGGGCCAGCCCCCCTCTGCTGAGTTTTTTAGTTCTTTCGTTTTTTTCTTTTTTGAATCTGCTTGGTCATTTTTGTCTTAGTCTGTACTCATATTTTCAATTGCTTCATTTGTTTTACATTCTGCACCTAATAATTCTAATTTCTCAAGTCTTTGCTGATATGTTGTTTCTGCTTGCTCTTTCTCAAAGTGTCTTGTTTCTTTGTGGATTGTATGATTTTTAAGTGGATTTTAATCTTGCAACTTTATGTATGGGAGTTCTTTGAAGCCTGGATTAATGATCTGAAGGTTTCCCTAGAGCTACACTGTCCGATACACTAGTCAATAGTACATGTGGCTATTTAAATTTTAATTAAAATCAAATAAAATTTAAAATTTTGTTCCTCAATCACACTAGCTAAATTTTAAGTGCTCCATAGCCACAGAGGCCATTATATTGGACAGCACATATGTAGAACATTTCCATCAACTCTGGTTGTTCTGTTGGACACCTTTGCTCTAGAGGTCTTTTGCTTTTCCTGCTGCCAGGTACCGATAGGCATTGTTAGCCTGGGAAACCACTTTAAACTAAATTCCCGGTTTGAGGAGTTTTCTTGAACCATGCAGGTGGTATGAAATTGGGCTGCACAGATGAGTGAAGCCTAGCTTGAGATTATGAATTCTTCTCAGGGGAGAATTTTTTTCACAGTACTGTTGCCATGGGTGTGAAGATACCCATGGATAATAGATTCTGTTCCTTTGCTTAGATGATGAGAGTAATGTTGCAATCACCAGACCAGCTTCAGAAAGCCCCTGTGTGCTGAGTGAACCACAACCTTTGGTCTTACCTCGAGTGCCACAGTCTAAGGTGCTGTCCATCACCTCTAATCCGGTAAGCCCCACAGGGGAATGTATTGGAGAACCTAGGACTGTTCTTGCCAGAGGAAGTTTGCTCAGAGTTATTTGCCTTAATTGTATTATTTATGACTCAATTTTGTTTTCTGTTATGTGTTTATCACAATAATCCCAGTGACTTTGTATTGATAGGTTTAATTTCAGTTTAAAAAATTAATAGCCAATTAAGGTTGATAGGTAATTCTCAGTCAGCTCTTTTGAAAAGGCATCCGTAAGGTGTGCAGGCTAGAATCAACTATGTGGTCAGCCTAAGTCTGTTTTGGGAAGAATGAAGGATACAATGAAAAGAGGTACCAATCTCCAATTTTCTATGGCCTTAATTAACATTCTCTCCTTTGAATTTCTCCTTTTCACTCTTTCCTTTTTTCTCTTATCTCAGTCTACCTGGTTTTTGTTTAATTTTTAATATTTGAATCTGTTGACTTTTTTGCCTTTTGGATGTTTAGTACTCATAACCCAACTGTAAAAGAGAAACCAGATAGGAGAAATCGGTCTCAATTAAGTCTGTGGACAAGCATTAAGATGGCCATTTCTTGCAGAAGGCTGATGAACCTGGTCTCATCCCTGTGTAATGATTTATGTAGTCCTAGTTCCTACATGATAGTTTCCCAGTGTGACTTGTGGCAAAGTAGTGGGGGTGGAGAGGAGAAAAAAGAAAGAAAAGGAGGATTCTAATCCTTGGGCTATGTTCATCAACCCTGATCTACTACCAGATCAAGTGTTTGCTTTATTGGTATACTGGCCAGATACTGTGCAGCTGGATTTACAAAAGGGTTATTTAAAAATAAAATTAATAAGGCCCTTACCTTATCACACTGGAGGATAAATCAGGTGAACTATGTTCCTTTGGTGGTAATAAAATACTTCTACATGTTAACTGGTTTGGCTATGGTTTAGGTAGCCTAAGCCCTGAGTAGTTAACGTAAATGGTTCTGGTTGTTAATGATCAAAGGAAGGAAAAGCATTAATCCAAATATTCTTGAGAGAAAGTAGGAGAAAAATGCATGCTGTGGCAGAGAAGGAAATGACCAGAAAGGACACTTAACTGATGACCTGAGAGAGAAAATAAACAGGCTTCTAAGGTGGTGATGTCAGTCCAAGTAAGATTAAATCCTGCTAACATTAGAACAAATAAAATTTTCTCCTCTAATAAACAATCTTCAGAATTTAGGTTATCATTGAGAGCTGACTGCTCCAGGGGTTAATGAAGGAGAAGGGATTAGTCTGTGCAGAGTGTAGAATTGTGTGATGGTGAAAGAGATTATGTTAGAGTTTCCACTTATTTTTTCTTCCATATTTTGTGTTTTCTTTTCTAATGTAATGTGTATAATAATGATAATAATAAAGACCCTCTCTCTTCTATGAGAGTGGCTAATTGCTTTCATCTGGGTTGATCAGAATTCCCCCACTTGCAGTCATTTAGAAATGAAGAAGAAAGGACTCTGTCATCTTGACAGTGGACTTGGGGCCCTAGCTGGGCCACTGGCCAAGATGTTACAAAAAATTAAGGCATAGGATAAAAATGCATTTAGAAATATTAACTTTTGGCAAAGTTGGGAAACCAAGCAGGTATCTTCAACAACAAATAATGAGTAACATCTTCTTTTGACATGTAGATGAGTCTCTGTCAAGCAGCAAGTGGTCATCAGCCAAATGTGAATGGTCTCTTGGTTCATGGGATGCCTCTACAGCCAAGAAATCTCTCCCTAATGGACAAGCTCCTGTAAGAAGTATAAAATTTTAATAAAGTTTAAATAGATCACTGAGAAATAAAAGGAAAGCAAAGTCAGTCAATCAACGTGCATGTATTGAGTACCTCCTAAGCAACCACAGAGACATCTGGGGAGTAAAAACATCTAAGGGAAATGGTCTCCACCCTCAAGGAGCTGGTAATATAACTGGAAAGAGAAGAGACACATGGGTAAAAAGAGACCTAGGGCATTTTTGTGAATGAGTGCCAAGTGTGTGGTACCAAGTGAGTGCTATGGCAGCCCCAAAGAAGGGAGGCATTTTGGTGGGTAAGTGTAGGTTTTGAACTTGTCCTTGAAAGATGGGAGTTTGGATAAGCAGAAAAGAGCAGCAAGGCTATTCTGGTACGAGGAATGGTTTGGGAAAGATTTGGAGATGGGAAAAATCAAAATATTTAGAAGAGAAAGCAGACCATTTTTGCTATAGTAGGATAGGAAGAGATAGGCCAGGACTTTCATGCTTCTGACCAAAGATCATTGACAGTCTTCTAGAATTAAAATAGACCACGGTGTAATTAGTGGGAAAGAAGATCCTATGAAATTAATGAAGGATGGGACCAGACTGTGAGGGTTTTGAATGCCATGTTTTTGAGATCCATCCATGTCGTTGCATGTGACTTTCTCTTTTATTGCCAAGTAGTATTCTGTTGTAAGAATACATTACAATTTGTTTACCCATTCTTCTGTTAATGAACACTTGGGCTGCTTCCAGGTTGGGGCTGTTATGCATAAAGGCACTATAAATATTCTTGCACAGGTTTTTTTGTGGACTATGGTTTCATTTTTCTTGGTTCAAGATCTACAAGTGAAAGTGTCATAGGATAGGTGAGTGTATGCTTAATTTTATAATAAACTTCCATACAGTTTTTCAAAGTAATTGCACTGTTTTATACTCCCACTAGCAATGTATGAGTTTCACTTGGGGAGCACATATATTTAAATCAGGAATTTGAAAGATTTCACAGCAATAGAACATAGATTGAATCAAGCAGGAAGGACTGAAGGTAAGGAGTCTAATGCAGGAGTTCAAGCATGAGCTGCTAAGGGTCTGTACTCAGGTTGTAGCAAAGGATATAAAAGGAATGAAATATTTTAGGAGATACTGTAAAAGAAATCAAATTCTCTAAACAATACGAGAGTCAAAGTCAACTCTGAGATTTCAAGCTCAAGGGAAGCTTGTTTGGTGGGGAAAGGTGAGTTTGGTTTGGGGTGTTGTTGAGTTTACAATGATGTGCCATCTCGCTGGAAATATGGAAGACGTCAGATCTGGAGATTGATCTAGAAGCCACCTGACTAGAGGTGATAATCGAATCCAGAATTATGAACGAGCAGTCCAGAGGACAAAATAGACAAGAGCATAGAGCAGCTAAGACCTAAACCTTTTGTAATTAGAAAGCAGGGCGTGTAAAGAAAAGGTCTAAGTGAATGGTTAGGGAGGTAGGAAGACCAGAAAAATCTCATATGAGTAATGCTCAAGGTTTAGCCCTATTCCTTGACAGGCATTTTCCCCTTCCAAGTCCTCCAAACATGGAGGCATATTTTGCACTAGAGGACACCAAAGTGGCCTGAAAGGTTGAGGAACTTGCTAAAAGCCAAAAGAGCACATGGCAGAGCTTTATGCTTTCACTTTCCTTCCACTTCACTGTGCAAATACTGTCTCTTAAGTGCCTTACAATAGAGTCAAATGTCCTCTCATCTGCTTTTCTTTTTGGTTTTTTGAGGAAGATTTGCCCTGAGCTAACTACTGCCAGTCATCCTCTTCTTTTCTGAGGAAGCCTGGCCCTGAGCTAACATCCGTGCCCATCTTCCTCTACTTTATATGTGGGACACCTACCACAGCATGGCATGCCAAGCAGTGCCATGTCCGCACCTGGGATCTGAACCGGCGAACCCCGGGCTGCTGAGAAGCGGAACGTGCGAACTTAACCGCTGCACCACCAGGCTGGCCCTCATCTGCTTTTCAAAAAGCGCTGGATCTGGGGGCTGGCCCCGTGGCCGAGTGGTTAAGTTCGCGCGCTCCGCTGCAGGCGGCCCAGTGTTTCGTCGGTTCGAATCCTGGGCACGGACATGGCACTGCTCGTCAGACCACGCTGAGGCAGCGTCCCACATGCCACAACTAGAGGAACCCACAACGAAGAATACACAACTATGTACCGGGGGGGCTTTGGGGAGAAAAAGGAAAAAACAAAATCTTTAAAAAAAAAAAAAAAAAGCGCTGGATCTGTAGGGCAGAGTTTAAGCTACCCAACTGTTTGGGCATAGTATTTTATTAACAAAGTAATTCCAGAAAAGCGTTGTATTTCACACTTGTTTACGCAAATGGCGATCCACTGTGGTCCTGCTGCCCTGAGCAGCACAAGGCTCTGGACCCCTCGCCTGCTCCCAGCTTTCCAAGGAACCCACACCCCTACCCCTGCAGGCTCCAACTAGCTTAGCATTTTAATCTCTGCAGTGGGAGCCACACTGGTGCTACACTGCTCTCAAGCAGCAATATTTGCCTTTCAACTCTTTCTGGTGACATTCCTTCAGCACAAAAGAATGCCTCAGGGGCCGGCCCCAGGGCCGAGTAGTTGAGTTCTCGTGCTCCGCTTCCGCAGCCCAGGGGTTTCGCCAGTTCGGATCCTGGGCGCGGACATGGCACCGCTCATCAAGCCACGCTGAGGCAGCATCCCACATGCCACAACTAGAAGGACCCACAACTAAAAATATACAACTATGTACCGGGGGGGCTTTGGGGAGAAAAAGGAAAAATTTTAAAAATCTTAAAAAAAAAATAGCTTAAGAGAAGAGAAAAAATTAAAAAAAAAAAGAATGCCTCAAATACAGTAAGAATCTCAGTCCCTGAGATAAACTTTTGGGAAGCACTTTGGAGTAGGTACTCTTCAGGTTAGTCTTCACTAGTAACTGACGGAGTGACTGTGATGGCAGGTGAATAATGGACTTGCTTTTGCAAATCTCCATTCTAATAAATTATGTGTATGACTGAAATGTCCTTCTTTTAAGAATGCATTCTCATGCCTGAGCTAGATTATGTAACTTCTAGAAACTAAGTTACTTATTGAACAGTTTTTACTTTTGCTTTTTTCTCCCTTGAATGTATTTTATAGTCTAAGTCTTTTTACTCTTTGAGTCCTGTCTCCTTATACACAGCAATCTTGATTTCACTGTGGGTTTCTGATTTGGCCACTAGAGATCTTGATGACAAGCTACTAATGAGGCCTGGGTCCAGTACCATCCTTTCAACCCGAAATTGGCCAAATCGAGCCCTGGAGCTTAGTACATCATCTCTGTCATATACAGTGCAGTCCGCCAGGAGACGCAACCCCCCACCACGTACCCTTCATCCCATAAGCACAAGCCATTCACGTGCTGGAACGCCAAGACCTGTGGAAGAAATCCTCAGAGGATCCCGAGTGTAGGTTTCAAAAGCAGAATTTCTAGAAACTGTGGTAAAACTAAAGAAGAATGTCACATAGAGGGTGATTTTAAATGTAAGATTGAAATACATGCCTAGAAACTAATCATTACATATTTTTATGATGTTCACTTGTTTAAATCCAATACAGAAAACGATGGGGTTAAATTTGAATGAAACACAGATACTGGATCTTTCTGTTGATTTAGCTAAAGATTTATATTTCTACAAATAAAATGTTGGCTGGAATACTTCAGTGCGATTTACCAAAAGAATAAAAGATATATGTATTTTATTAAACATTTTCCTTAGTGGGAACATACTCAGTGAAATTCACCCCAAAATAATAATTAATTCTCCTTTCATATTTTTCTGTACCATTGAGATCTGCTTATCTCACTGGCAATGAAAACTTTATAACATCAGATATGTACTTGCTTATGTACCAGGAAGAATGTCCCTTAGCACTTCTTAGGAAATAACACTGAAAATATTTTCTCTTTTCTCACCGTTCATTCACTAGACACTCTGAACATCATTGTGCAAAAAATACCTAGGAGCCAATTTTTTGAATAAAATTCTTTCTTTAGTTGTTGATTTCTAATACCATGATCAAGGATATGAGATAATAAGGCCATAACTGCGTTTTGAATTCAGCTTCTAAATTAAGCATGTCACTATATTTCTCTCCCAACATGTTATTTCTTGATTTTGATTTTTCAGTTTCTTGTTATAATTTATCCCAATAGACTCACTAAACGAGATGTCCAAAACCACCAAAAATCTTTGTCAGGACACCAAGGTTCACCTTTCACTTTATTATGTTTTTATAGCTATATCTACACCAATACATCTATAGATTAATTCATTTGGGGGGATAAGTGGTCTTGATGTATAATTAATGTCTTATCCCTTCCGACAGTACTTTTTTCAAAGTGGAAAAATAGGTTGCTTTGTTTCTTCCGGAACATGAAAATACCCTTCAGTTTCAGTTACTGTCTCGGATATGAGTAATACTGCAAACTGCTCCAAATTCCATGGAAGTAAATGAAAGTTTAGGAACTTTACCTGGGAATTATAGTGATTATAATAAAGTGAAAAGGACAACCATAAAGCCTAGAGCTGGAGAATTCCATCAGATGTGAAGTTACAAATCCATAGTTGGCAGAGAAGTGCAACACCAGATAGGGAAAATTGTTTTATTCCAGTTCTCTGTGAGAGAAAGGGTCAACCTCTGCTGTGTGCCCAGGATAAGGTTTCAACAAAAATCAGAAAATACTATGAAAAAAGCCCAAAACTCTTAATTTTCCAAAATCTTCTCATTGAGATCTCTTTACTTAAAAATGTAAACAGCTTTAAAGCTTTCTGTGCATGACATTAAACTCACCTGCTTCATTTATTTGATTCTAATCAGTTTTCTTGTATTGTTATAACTCTGTGTTTTCTTATCTTGGTATTCGCTGGTGGGATCTGCAGCCCCTTGGCAGCCGAATCGCTCTCCTCTCCCTCACCAATGCCTCTGAGTCGAAATAATCTGCTGCCACCTATTGGCACAGCTGAAGTGGAACACTTGAGCATTGTGGGGCCACAAAGGCAAATGGTATGTCTCTTTCCTGTTGCCGTTCCATGTGCTTAAAACCTCATGGGCAGTAATTCTGCATGATCTGTATTCTGGTCTTGATTTATACTATGTTTTGTTAAAAGTACAAACTGAACTCTAATTTATGGCAATGGAACTGGAGCTGCTTGGCCTGCAGTTACCATATATGCACAGTTCCCACTACAAATTGTTTAAACTTCTTCTGTAATTTTTAACTCCTCTACAGAAAACCCATGGTGATTCCAGTCGAGCTCGAAGCGCAGTGGTGGATGAGCCTAACCATCAGCAGCCCCAGGAGAGGCTCCTTTTACCTGACTTTTTCTCCAGGCCCAACACAACTCAGTCATTTTTGGTAGAGTGACATTTACTTCCTCTATGGTCTTGATAGTTGGGGAAAGAAAAAAACCTAGTTTCAGCAGACTTAAGACTTTACATAGTGGCTGAATCAACCAAGAATAAAAGTTGAGGTTCTAACAAAAATAGTGTTCTAAGTACATTTTGTTGAAATTCTAATGGGTCTCTGCCACTCGTTCTTTTAACTTGTAAAAAGAATAAGGTAAAAATGCCTTATATATAAATTACAAATTCTAAAGAATTTAAAGTTATTTCTGAAAATAAGCAAAAGAAAGTTAAACTCCAGTGCATTACCCCATCAGATTAGTATAACTTCATTCTCTAACACTGCTTTTATGGAGTTACATGAAAAGTGGTATCATATTATGATGTAGACTGGTGGATAGGTGAATTAGGACTTTCATTTTTTTTATTGGTGTTTGAAATGCTGACATTGCCTTACCATTTAATGTGCATTTTGGGGCTGGCCCTGTGGCCGAGGGGTTAAGTTCGCGCGCTCCGCTGCAGGCGGCCCAGTGTTTCGTTGGTTCGGGTGCTGGGCGCGGACATGGCACTGCTCGTTGGGCCACGCTGGGGCAGCGTCCCGCATGCCACAACTAGAGGGACCCACAACAAAGAATGTACAGCTATGTACCGGGGGGCTTTGGGGAAAAAAAATAAATAAATAAAATCTTTAATGTGCATTTAGTAGCCCTTTTACTTTTTTTTTTTTCTTTCTGAGCAAGATTCACTCTGAGCTAACATCTGTGCCAATCCTCCTCTATTTTGTATGTGGGCCACCAACACAGAATGGCTGACGAGTAGTGTAGCTGATGAATGGTGTAGGTCTACGCCTGAGATCTGAACCTGAGAACTTGGGCTGCCAAAGTGAAGCACGCCAAACTTAACCACTGCACCAGGGCGGGCCCCACTAGCCCTTTTACTTTTAAACAAGTAACAGAAAAAACCTGGTTGGGAGATTGGAGGTCATGCACTGACCTTGCCCAATTGTAGACCAGGAGCTCTGCTCCACCTCATTTGCTTTGTGGGAAGAAGACTTGGAGAGCCTGGGGAAGTGGCTGGGGCCACACTTAGTGCCCAGGAACCAGGGCTCCACATCCTATACCAGTTGTCAGGATGGTGGTGTTTGCAGTTGAGATAAGCCACTCACTTATCCCAACTCATAACACTTGAACTGTATCAGCCTGAAGCACTGTACAATCTTTCCTCCACTAGAAGAGTGGTGAGACTAATAAATGAATGGGACATTTTATTAGTTTCCTAGGGCTGCCATAACAGATGACCACAAATTGGGTGGTTTAAAACAATAGAAATTTATTCTCTTAGTTCCAGAACCTAGAAGTCCAAAATCAAGATGTCAGCAGAGCCATGTTGCCTCTGCAAGCTCTAGGGAAGAATCTTTTCTTGCCTCTTTTCTAGCTTCTGATGGTTGCCAGCAATCCTTGGCATTCCTTGGCTTGCAGCTGCGTCACTCAGTTTCTGCCTCTCTTCACATGGCCTTCCTCCATGTCTCTGTCCAAATTTCCCTCTTATAAAGCTACCAGTCATTGAATTTAGGGCCCACCCTAATCCAGCATGACTTCATCTTAACTTGATTACATCTGCAAAGATCATTTTTCTAAATAAAGTCACATTCACAGTTCCAGGTGGACATAAATTTTGGGGGAGACACTATTCAACCCAGTAGACCTCAGGAGGCTTGATTTAGGGGGAGATTTACCAAAAACAAGGGCAAAAAGGAAATGTGAGCACTTCTGATTCTTACTCAGTGTGAATCCTAGGAAGTTTGAGAACCTCTATTAAATTTGTCTTCTCATAATCTGATCCAGGACATTTAGTGTTTGATGATTATATTCTATAGCTAGATTGTCTACTGCACATTTAATTTTTGATTGCCTTAGAAATAAAACTAAACACATTTCAAAATTTTTTTTTCAGATTTTTATAACAATAACAAAAGTAAAAATTTCTTGCCTTAGCCATTTCTCTCCCAATTTGCTGTCATGACAAAGGAGTCAGTAATTCAATGTAACTGAGAGCACTGGATCTGAGTCCTGTGCCTGGCACTGCCAGAATAGCACTCTGCTCCTTGGTGCTCTCATCTAGAATAGGGGTCAGCAAACTATGGTTCACGGGCCGTTTGGCTTACTGCCTGTTTTTGTAAACAAAGTTTTATTAGAGCAGACAGCCACCACGCTCATTCACTTATGTACTGTCTATGGCTGCTTTCCCACTACAAGAGCAGAGGTGAGTAGGTGCAATGACAGTATGTACCACAAAGCCTAAGATATTTACTATCTGGCCCTCTACAAAAAATACGTTTGCTGACCCCTGATCAAAAACATGAAGCTTCACCAGAAAAATATTCCTGAAATCTCCTTAATCCAGTGCTCTGACAGGGAACTGAGAGGGATGTGTTTTATTCTGGAAGCATCAGTGGGATGACATTAATAGCTCTTTTTTCGATATTTGCATTTTAATATTTCAGTCTGATTTTAAAAATCTTTAAATTCCATGAGGTAATTTTGCTATGTCTGAATTTCATGTTGGGTCACATTTCAAGTATGGAGGTAAAGTCATGGGTGTTTCAATGTTGCTGAAAAGGCTCTGTTCTGTTGTTTTAAACAGCAGGTAATAGAAATGGGGGAAAAATCCCCTGGCAGCCAATTATATTTAGAAATATTCAACCATCTGAATTTATAAATGCTAAGATTTTCTTAAAGGCATATTTTAAAGTTGTAGAACTTACAATTTTTACAAGTTGACAAATGGCTTTGTGAGCCTCTGGCTTGGGATTTTTCACACGGAATATAACAGAGTGCACTCAGCCAACTTGTCCCTCAGATTGGCAAACGATGCCATTTATATTATTGTCCAATTTCAAGGTTTTCCCTTGTGAACCTACCAATGTATTATCCTTTGGGAGAAGTCACACTGTAAGAAGTGTCTCATTTTTTCTCTTTTTCAGCCGGATACACAGTATCGTCGTTCATGTGCTGTTGAATATCCTCATCAGGCCCGACCTAGCAGGGGATCTGCAGGGACAGGTGGGGCCATGGCTCTTATTTTACTACTATGTGGCTACGTTAAGACCCTACTTTTGTCTTATTTTTTCCTAAGTTTATTTTCCCTTCCTCTGGATTTTATTATGTTTCATTTTCCTACATTTTGTTAATCACTTCAAATTCATTTTGGAAGATGGGATATAATAAAAAGATAGAGGAGGGCTCTATTGCTCAGAGCCAAAAAGTTCCAGATTTCTGTTTTCTCAAGTGTAAATTAACTTCTCACCAGTCTGCCAAATAAATAGTACTTTTTCTTTAATCCAAAAACTGTAAGCCAATTAAGTTGTTTTCATAACATTCAAACACTGCATGGATTTTATTATGTAGGCAAAATCCATATAGCTATAGATTAAACTGCTTTGGTCAGTTAACCTGCTAGGCCAAGGAAAGAAAAGAAACTTTAAAATGTTAAGATATGCTGAGTCTGATTCTATGCCATTAATTTTTTTGATTTCCAAGTTATATTCTATAGATTCTATTTTCATAGGAGTGATGGGAGAAAATTTAAGGATGTCTGAATTCTTATAATTGTCTTCTCACCACCATCAGGGTCATTCTCATTATGCTGTAGATGAAATTTAGAAGTATTGGGCAGTTGAAATGTTTCCTATTAATGAGATTAATCAGCAAGTACATTAAAAAGTAATCTGCCTCAAACCATCTCTTAGTCCAAATAAATTCTCTTAGTTCAATTCCTAGCAGCACTATTTGGTAGCGTTTGAATGCTTTCAGTGGGTTCTATTCTTGCATCACTCCTCATAGAGAAGCAGTGCTGCCTCTGAGATCGTTATTACATCAGCCATGTTGACGGTCACATGTAACTAGTGTAACATTTAGGTAAGTGAAACAGACTATTTTAGTCTTCAATTAGTGGGTTCTTCTCTAAAACTAGGTCACTGCTTTCATATCTTAATATAAACTTTTTTGTTTTTACATGACAAAAATATGCAAATGTGGTTTTTATAGCCTTGGTAAATATATACTTTACTAAGTAGTCCCGGTCTCCAAATTTAAAGTCCAACTGATAATTGGAACAAAAAAGCCCTTAGATATGAACTTGAGATTACCAAATCTAGAATGTCTACTAATGTTAGACCCTATAATGTCATCTTTGTCTGACAGGTCCTCAGTTACATGGGTCTACAAAATCTCAAAACAGAGGTGGACCAGTCTCTAGAACCAGGCAGGGACCAGAAGGCAAATGAGAAGAACCTGCTTCAGGCTCCTGGAAACACATGGGAAGATTTCGTGAATCAGTGTTCAGTTATCTCATGATGCAGAGCGTGTACACAAGAGACAACTTGAAACCATCTTCCTGAAGAGTTATTTTAGTTCAACTGAGAAAAAAAACAGAATATCTGCCAAAGATTACATGAGTACTGTTTGTATCTCCAGTTATTGTCGTCTTTCAGCATAAGTTAACCTTGTTCCACTGGACAGTAAAGCTTGTACCCAAAGATGTAACAAATGAATAATTACCCCCAAACCATTGCTCATGTTGTCTGTTAACAACGATCAGATCAATTATTATAGGATCTATGAGACTAGACATACACAAAAAACAGCAATTAATAGCATTAAGTCACCACTGGCTTTGGAATACTTCTGCTTGTACTGATTTCTGGGGTGCTGTACTCAGTTTGAAGTCATTTTTGGGAGATAGATAGTGCTGTCAAAAAGCTGAGCTACTCATCAAACAGATGTCATTCTTAAAGCTGTCTCTTGAGCTGTCCAATCCCATAGGCAGATAGAGATGGAAGGAGTAACTAAAGGCATAAATGTTGAGCACTGATGTAAAGTAACTTCTGTAATAAATCATAATGCATGTGTTTTTCAGACAGGACAACTCAACCTCACAATACCTGCTTGATATCAGGTTATACTTCTTCTTAAAGTACTTTAGTGGTCATGTTTTTTCCCCAAATATTAAGCTCACTTTGCCAGATTTTCTCCTGTAGCTCTAAGAAAGTCAATTAAAAAATTTATAGAATCTTTCTACTAGTGAGTCAGCAAGATGCAATTCTTACAACTTCAGAAACCCTGGCAATTAGTCCAGTATAAACATATCCTAGAGAGAAGTAGAGAACTCTGGCCTTCTTCTGATTTTACCATGGAGCTTTTCCTGAGTGCAATCATGAATGCAGCAAAGGTTTTAACTATGGCTTAAATTTATTTTATTTCAATTTCCTTGAACTTTAATTTTGATGATCATACCAGTTTAGATCTTATTGTTAATATTCAGAGTGGATAAATTCAAATGATCATAATTTGGGGTGACTTTTAAATTATATCATAGTGTTCTAATGCTATCATATGAAAACAGATGCTTCAAACAACCTGCATTAAATATTTTTAATATAATTAAAGAGTATTTTTTAACCTGTTTGTAATCACAAACCAAAAACATGCCATGTACTTAGTTCAGATAAATTATGATACACAAAGCTCAGTAACAGAAGGCTTGTTTTATGCATATGGTATTAAATATATTAGTCTACATATCAGAGATTTTAAGTTCAACAATCCCTAAAATATTTGCATGTATTCTAATGAATGCATACCAATTCAACTGAATATAAATGAAAATCTCTGTACTATTTTCACAAATCAATACCATGAATGCATGACAACAAACCATTGGATCAAACAGCTTGCCTTTCAAAGTTAGAGTTAAGAGTCAGCAGGGGCCTCTAAGAAGACATTTAGCCCAACTTTACTACCCTTTTATAGATGATGAAACAAATTCAGACATGCTCAGTGACCTGCCTAAAGACATTCAGTAGTTACAGGCAGGACCACAACATCTCTTTATGCTCCTTAAATCGGTCTATCTATGGTAACACCAACTAGGACTACTTTTCTTTTCTCTTCTCTATCCTAAACACCATTCATATTTTTTCTAGATCATATTTTAAATGATCCCAGTGATCATTTAAAAAGAACTAAACTCATTTTTTACTTGTTTATTTAATCATGTGTAAGTCTTACAAAGATGCTTGAAGTAACCTGAACACCTGTTTCTCCTATAATACAAGCAAAGACTACAAAACCTGGTTGAGTGAAAAGAAAGAATACTAAGACTGAAAGCAAACTGGCAAGTATTTGGAAGACAGATGTCTGGCAAGTGTTTTGAGGCATTCCAGCTAGGTAGAGTACCTGTTCTAATAAACACATCACTCCAAATATTCTGTAGCTCATTCCTGTGTGGCAAAATGACAACTCCTAAAGGAAGACTCGCATTGTAGACAGAGTTCCTTGTACAGAAGATCCATAGAGGCAAGTACTGTCAGAAAGTATACCACACTCTGCCTTTTCCCTCAATGATCACTACACCAAATTCCTTCATGTAAGGGCCTCACAGAATGTCAGGGGATTTCTAGGATACACTAGGATCAGGTTGAGAGATTCTGCTTAGTTTACATAGTCAATCTGAATATAATTTGGACGGGAAAGACAACTTTTCTCACGGCTTGGGTTGACTCCTTGCCTGCAATGGCACCAATGAACACCTGAGGACTTCTGAAGAGAAAATTCCATTATTTCTTTTCTTTCTTGAGAGCTGCTTTTTTCCCTCCTCCTCCTTTGGAAGGTTTGCAGTACTTTGCTTCCATCTGAGCCAGAAAACTGTCCATTTCCTTTTGCCGATCCTTTTGTCTTCTCTGTTTGAGAAGTTAAAACACAAGTTTTCAAAACACAAGACTATCCATAGAGACAAGAGTACTTAGTGGTTGCCAGGGGCTAGTGGGGAGAAAGGGGAGTTACTGCTAATGGGCAAGGAGTTTCCTTTCAGGGTGATAAGAATGTTCTGGAATTAGTGTCGATGCTTGTACAACTTGATGAATATACTAAAAACCATTGACTTGTTCACTTTAAAAGGATGAATACATGGTATGCGAATTCTGTCTTAAAGGAAGAAAACGAAATACCCACAACACTATACATACACTCCAAAGAAAATCTTAGCAGTAGGAATCAGAACATGAAAGAAGTGGTGGCAACCTTCACAACCTGGCCAAGCTTACCTGAATGACTGCTTTCAAGTTATCTACTCCTTCATCAAGCCCCAACTCCTTCCTGCTCTTTTCTGCTTCTTTAGCCTCTTCTTGAGCCTAAAACAGAAACTCAAGTGAGACTCCTTGGCAACCAGGCAAATGCTAAAAATACACCCTCTTTCACAAAAGCAAATCTGTGAGACCTTTGCAATTTGAGGATTATATAGATAAAAAGGATAAAATTACATAAATACGTCATTCATTAAAACGCAACACTGCTGACAGCAAGTAGTAGACCCTCTGTTTCCAATAAGCATTTCTGAGTCTTCCCCATTTCTACTTGCTAGGGGTAGCAAAGTAGATTAGTATTCATAAACCACCTGGTGGCAGGAAGGAAAACAAAATGCTAGGAGAGCTAGGAAAGGTCACTTAACTAAGGATGCCCTCAAAAATGCTGCCAGGATACAGGCACCTCAGATTCCTCATCTGGAAACCCAATTTACATGTGACTGGTGGCAGCCTTGAGAGCAACCTGGTTTAAAATTCCCCAAGTAGTCAGAATAAATGGTAACAAATTCAGTTTTAACCTTTCTTCACCTGATTTCAAAGCCACCTTCTTTTGTCAAATTTCCCTAGGGCGCTGATTCCAAAATACCACAAAAATACCTTGGGAAAGTTAGTAAGTTTGTTCTTTCCTTCAGGGCAACAACTAAGACTATAAGAGGCCTCAACCTCCAGTGAACTTTCTAAATAACAATGAATACTATTAATACTGAGAATAATGATACATTAGGAGCTTATTACTCCAATACAGAGAGACAGTTTCTATTGTCTCTCAGTGTTTCTATTCAATTTATTTCTTTAAATATTGTATTCACTCCTCCCCAGGTTTGCTGGAGTCTCTCTCAAAACCATCCCCCTCCAAACTCTAGGCAAGTTTCTCAAACTAATAGCCTATTAATGAAAACAGGTGTGCTCAGTTGCGCCCAAGAAAATGATTACCAACTTAAAACTGTCAGCTTGAGTCTAAACAGATGTAGCCTATGAGGCAAAATGATGATCTTGATACACATTCCACTTCTCTCAACTACACATACATACATAGACACACACACACACACGAGCTTTCCCTTCTATCTTATATCTAAAAGCTGCACACCTACCTCCACCCCCAATTCAGCCAAACAAAATAAGGTACTACTTTAGTATCTAAAATCGTACACTGTCTGCTCTCCACGGAGCTCCCATTATGCAAGCCAGGTTGAGGCAATGGTCACTTCGGTACCAGTGTCTTCCCCAAAAGACTAGAGGCACAGATGTTTGGTACCTTGAATTTACTCCCTTCCAGAACCCCAGCTGTCCTTAAGTTCCTTCCCCTTGCCATCATCCCTACCTCACCAATTCCACAGTTTAATATAGGTATAAAGGACACACAGGCCACAATCTCTGATTCTCCACAAATGTGCTCCTCAAAGTGTTTGGAAAGACACCTTCAACAAAATGAACTAAATCGTTTCTTTAAAAAATGTATATTCTGGGTCCAACTCAAGAATCAGTCTGGGCAAGAGGAAAAGAATCTGTGTTAAGACAGTCTCTGTCGCACTGACTCCACCCCGTAACGGAGTGAGAACCATTGTCTAGCCAACTCATCTGTATCACTGTCTAGCCATTACTTTATCTCCGGAAGAATGCCTCAGCGAAGCTACAAGAATTTGGCCCATATGAAGAATATATCAATGTTACTTTAAGATGATATTATTTAAACAATCCACGTAGTAAAATCCCCTTGTGTACAATATACCAGGAAAAAATAGTTGCTCCGGCTGAACTGGTATGCTCATTTTACTAGATGAGAACTAGATAACAAGTTAACCCTTATCCTTATTTCAGCAGTCTCAAATATATTCCCATTATTGTAAACATCCTCAAATTCTTTTTGTACACAGTCGAAATATAAATAAATAGCATTCAAAATCTTACCCTCCTTTTCCTTGCATTCATCTTTTGCTTTGATTCTTTGACAAAAGCATTATAGGATGGGACTTCTCCAGCATCAATGGCTTGCTGAATAATGTTCCTTATTCTGGATTCCTCTGTGTACTGCACACACAGCACAGACTCCATAATCTGATCCATGTCACCCCTGAAGTCCAGATAGGCCTGTTTAATATCAGCCAGCTCTTCTTCAGAACCTTTGTATGTCTTTTCAAAAGCTTGAATGTCTTCTAGAGATATCTGAACAAATACGAGACATATGCTTTAAATTTGAGAATTTTATTTTAAATAAAAGGTATAGTGAGCCAGCCCTGCTGGCCTAGTGGTTAAAGTTCAGCACGCTCTGCTTCGGTAGCTGGATTCAGTTTCCAGGTGCAGAACCACACCACTAGGTCAGTCAGTAGCCATGCTGTGGCAGCGGCTCACATAAAAGAACCAAAAGAACTTAGAACCATACACAACTATGTACTGAGGCTTTGGGGGTAGGGCGGAGAAAAAAGGAAAAAAAAAGGGACGAAGATTGGCAACATGTTAGCTTAGGGTGAATCTTCCCCTGCAAATAAATAAACAAATACTATACTAATAAAACTAGATTTAGATGTTGAAATGTTTCTCCCCAAATACTAGTTGCTTGAGTTGAAACTGTTGCAAGGAACCAAATTTTCTCTGACAAAGCTTTTCCAGAGGTCTCTGTGGTCCAATCTTCACAACTGTAAAACCATGGACCAGAAAAATTTAAGTGAAGTTTCCAAAGGTGGGAAGAGACCCAGAAAAATACTCACGACTTACATTTGGATATGTAAAATAAAGCATATCTTGTAAAAAACTAAATCCCCCCCTTTCACTACAATCAACTCTCCAACAGGAAATTGAAGACCCATTTCAGTAAGAGTGTGCGTGCGTGCATGTATGTATATATACACACATATACCGTGGGTTCAACCTAACGGGTTAAACAGATCTGCTTTTCAAAAAGTTACACGTATACCTCCTGAGAAATGCCTATACGTATGTATATATATTTATCTACCTTTCGAGGACAAATTCCTCACCCCTACAGAACAAAATGCAAGGCTTTAGAGGCATTCAATAATTGTTTGTCGAATGAATGATGGGAATAGTCACAAATAAATCTCCCGTCTTCTACCTTTTTAAAGAGTAACCTCCAATACGCCTCCCAGTCCCGATCTTGCTTGAGCACATCCGAATCCTCGTCCACTGTTCCCTGCTCATCGTACAGTGCTCTCTGCTCCTTGTCACTTAGAACGGAATAGACTTTCCCGAGGATCTGCGAGGAAACAGTATCCAAAAGTCACCCCTGCACCTCACTGAAAACCGCGCCGCGAGAAATAAAGATTAGAAAACTCCAGATTGGGTTTAGCGCACTCCACCGGGGCAGGGCCGGGCGGCCAGAAGACGGAGAGAAGCCCGGGCGTTCGGTGGTGCGGGGACTCGCGTACCTGGAAGCGACGGGTGGCGTCCTCCTTGTCGCCGTCGCCCACCCGGTCCGGGTGCACCTGAAGGGACACCTTGTGGTATCCGCGTCGGACCTCGCCGTCCGAAGCCTCGCGTCGCACGCCCAACACCCGGTAAAGGTCGGCGGTGCCGAACACTTCCTCGCACAGTTCCAGCAGCCCCATGGTCGGCAGAGGCGCGGAGCAGGCGGCGGCCGGGGAAAAGCTGCCTGCCCCAAAAGCACCGGCTAGAGCTCCGCGCCGCTTCCTTTTCCCGCGTAGACAGCCCAGGGCGCCAGTCACAAGCGCGGGAAAGGGCGGGGCGAAGGCGCTGCGCTTTACGGCGGCTGCAAAATGGGGCGCGGCCAGCCCTGCGTAGGCGTGGAAGGCAGCGGGGCGGAGCTGGCGGCCCAGGTCTCTCCCAGCGCGGGAAGCTCTTCCTGCGGAGACGCAGGGGTATCCCAGCTGCCGCCACGACCTCTCCTCCACTCAGTCCGGAAATCCGGCGCCCGTCCTCTCCTCAGGGTCCCAGCCCCGAAGCTCATTCAGTAATATATGGCACGTCCATATTAGGTTGAACCTGTCCACTGCTGTTTTGTTTTTAAGTAAAAAACGGTGTAACATGGCATTTGGCAGTTTCACATGGTTCAACCTCATGGTTAAATAGATTTGTTCTTTTTTCAAAGATGACCCTAACAAGAGTACACAGAGCACTAAGGCCCAAATAATTTTGCAACCTACAGGTTGGGACTGCTAGGTAGATACTTCCCTTGAGCCCTCCAAGAAAAAAGCCTAACAAAAAACACAAAATACTCGCCTTTTAAAAATTCTTTATCTGATAGTATTTATAGATTTGACATTAGACTCATTCCCATTCACCCTCCAGCTCCTGAATCACCTTCCATTTTGGAGATAACATGACCCAAACTCTCACCTTAATAAATATACAAGTTACTGAAGCAAAGGCTCTTTCAAAACATTTTAAATGTTTTCTAAAGTGCAGAGCTGAGTTTGAGCATGTTGGGTGGTAGCAAGATAGGCTGATGCAATTATCAAAGACATGGTGAGAAATCTGGGCCTGGAGATCCAAAGCAAGGCTAGGGCTAGAGAAAACTCTGGAAATCAGGGAGAGAATGAGCTCACAAAAGAAACGGGTATACAGATCTTAGACAAAGGAAAGACCAGGGCAAAAAGTGAGTACTTGAGTTGGCAGAAACTCAGTAGCTCAAAATAATACCTTACCTTAATCCATTTCACATCAGTTCCCCTCACTGGTCAATACTTTTCAGAATCACATTCTCCCTCTGTTCTACCAATTAAAGCTTCTCCAAAGACCTCAAACTCTCCAGGGTAGATTAATATCTTTTAAATTGCCAGAATTCAGGGCCGGCCCAGTGGCACAGAGGTTAAGTGAGCACATTCCGCGTCTGGCGGCCCGAGGTTCACTGGTGTGGATCCCAGGTGTGGACGTGGCACTGCTTGGCATGCCATGCTGTGGTAGGCGTCCCACATATAAAGTAGACGAAGATGGGCACGGATGTTAGCTCAGGGCTAATCTTCCTCAGCCAAAAAAAAAAAGAGGAGGATTGGCAGCAAATGTTAGCTCAGGGCCAGTCTTCTTCAGCAGAAAAAAAAGGGGAGGATTGACAGCAGTTAGCTCAGGGCTAATCGTCCTCAAATAAATAAATAAATTGCCAGAATTCTTTTGGTTTTCAAAGCATTTCTCTTTCCCAGATCCAAGATTACACCCAGCAAAGTCAGTTCCTCTTTGCCTACACTGCCTTCAAAGTTTCTGCAAAGCAAGTGGAAGCCAACCAGTGACAACCCTGGGGGAAGCGTTGATGACCTCAGAATTTGAAGTGGCTGGTAATTGTTCTCAGAATATAAAAACTAGAGAATAAAGTAAGTTGGTACATTGATAGGACTTTAAAATCTCTATACATTTCCTATATTCTAGTCTTCCACCAGAATTTGAAATCTGTATCATCTAGAGTGTGCACTAAAACCATCTAATCCATGCTTGTGGTTGTAGAATCCTGTGGTTCTGACGGAGTATAAATAATGTAATTATTTTGGGTTTTTTGGCACAGCCAGTCATTTGTATTACCAAACTCATGATACCTAAACTTGATTCTATCATTGACTTTTTAAGGTGATTTTTGAAAAGCTCCTCATCTTTGCTTACGCTCCCCCCCTACTTCCACCCTCCAACCCCCACCACCAATATGTTAGAAAAGGCTCTCCAGCCCTCCAGGTAGGCACACTGGCGTCTGAATCTTAGCTCTGCTCAATATTGAAACTATGTGGCCTGGGGCAAGCTTCCACCTCTGAATCTCAGCTTCCCCATCTATAAAATGGAAATAATCCTACCTACTTTCATGATACCTTATAATCCTCACAAGTAACTTTGTTTGTAAAGGGCCTAGAATGTATGTAGGGACTTCACAATATTAGCTTTCTTCCAATTTTTCATTCTTAAAAAGTAAGCCTTTGGGGCCAGCCAGTGGCAGAGCGGTTAAGTTCACACATTCTGCTTCGGTGGCCCGGGCTTTGCTGCTTTAGATCCTGGGTGCGGACCTACACACCGCCTGTCCAGCCATGCTGTGGCAGGTGTCCCACATATAAAGTAGAAGAAGACGGGCATGGATGTTAGCTCAGGGCCAGTGTTCCTCAGCAAAAAAGAGGACGATTGGAGGCAGACGTTAGCTCAAGGATAATCTTCCAAAAAAAAAGAAAAGTAGGCTATTATAGCCTGAAAGTAGGCTATTACACCCATAACAAACCTACCTTTGTAAATTTAACATTATGTGTCAAGCAAGACAATATAAATCTGCAATTACAAAAACAATAAGCGAAGTAACCGTGTTCTTGAGCTGGGAGGATGACCGTAAATGATTACGGAAGGAACTACTTGGATAGGCCCTGGACATGCTAACTGGGGGCTTCGAAACAGGAATGTCGTAGAAGGCAGCAGATTGTAAAGTTGTCCAAGAGACCTAGGGCCCAATCCAAAAGTACAACCCACCCCACAGCCACTGTCTTTCCCCAGACGAAGGCTAAAAAAGCACCTAGTACCAAGCTCTACGTCAGACAAATCTCTCCCTGGGCCCTGCTGAGGACAGGCCAGAAGAGCATAGGTGACTTAGAAAACTCCATTTATTGACCTCTAAATCTAATAAAACTAAGAGCTCTGCACAAGTGTTTTAAGAAGACTTTGACCTTACTCCCACTGCTCACTGAAGTCAGCTCGCTTTTGTTTCTACAGCCTCTGTATCTGTTTTCTGAGACACTAAGAGAATTTCTCGTGCTCGTTTCCGTCGCAGCCTCTCAGCATTTGTGATCACCATGGGATGCAGAGGGAAAAAGCCAGAAAGACCTAAAAGCAACAGGATTTTCATTCATTACAATACGGTACAAGCCAATGTTTCCCTGGGAACTCAGCCTCACAGAGCTGAGGTCTAACAGAGACCTGACCTACAGCATGCATTTAAACACGCTCCTCACTTGACAACCTGTCTTACCTCTCCCCAGCCACCTCCCGTCCATTTTCTATACTATAAGGAGACAAGGGATGTTGTCTACTTCCTAACGCTATTATCCTTACTTGAAAAAAAGACAAACTGACAGATGGCCATTCAAGACACACTATTTCCATTTTTACCATAAAACACAAGTCACCCAGAAAGTCTCATAAAGGAGTCCACAAAAGGGGTCTCCAAATTCAAAATGGCAATTAGATCACAACTTCAGCTCTCATTCCAGACCTGAGCAGCCTGGAGGGTGATAAAAATCATTCTTGATTTTCACCATCCTGGAACTGACTTCAATTTAAAATCCCCTCACTGACGTAAGGCTAGAGTTGAGTTACCCAGAAGCTTTTCCACAGGCTCAGAGAGGTGGGCCCCACAGCCGATCCAATGCCGGATTCGTTCCAGGTTGAGAGCAACGAGTTTCTCTCCATGACTGTTGGGCAGTGGATCATAGGAGCCCAGCTGCTCCACAAAACGGCCATCCCTGGGACTCTTGTTGTGAGCAGCCACGATGCGGTAGAAAGGCCGGTTGGTACAGCCACCCAGGGCAAGGCGAATGGTTAGGTGGCCTCCACGGTAGGCCTTGCAGAGGAGAGTGCCTACAGAGAAATAAGTAGTTCAGACACGAGAACCGAGGGCAAAAAATGGACAAAATGAGGTAAACGAAACAATCCCTTTCCTCCACTGAAATGTCCTCACTTCCAACCAATTCTTTTTTTTTTAAGATTGGCCCTGAACTAACATCTGTTGCCATCTTTCTTTGTTTTTCCTTCTCCTCCCCAAAGCCCCCAAGTACACAGTTGTATATTATAGTTGTGGGTCCTTCCAGTTGTGGCATGTGGGACGCCGCCTCAGCATGGCCTGATGAGCGGTGCCATGTCCGCGCCCAGGATCCGAACCGGGGAAACCCTGGGCCGCCGCAGCGGAGCGCGCGAACTTAACCACTCGGCCACAGGGCCCGCCCCGCTTCCACCCAGTTCTGGTCAGTCTGGCTTAGATACTGTTTTATGACATTCCTCTGATCCACTCCAGCCGGAAATGACTTCCTCCTCATCCCCCAATCCTCTCAGCACAGGCCTGCCACTTACATGTCTTTGCTCCGTAACCATGTCGGAGCCTCAGCTGCGTATCTATAAAACGAATGCCACTGATCTCAGGGTCTGAGCGAGGACTAAGTGAGAAAACATTGAGAGGAGGATCGTATGTAGGGCAGCGTGCGGTTTCCCCTTCGCGTTGCCTCCAGCTCACCTGAGGAGAGCGCGGCCCACTAGTCCCGCACGCCCCCAGCCCCCGCGACCGCCCGGAAGGTCTCTCTCGGGACCCCGATCACTCACTGAGCCGGACCATGGCGCAGCCGGCGTGCGCCGGGCCCTGTGCGCCAGCTGCGGCGTCTACGGGCTCCCGCCGCCCGCACCAAACAGCTCCTCGGCCTGCAGCGGACTGTCAGCACTGCCGGGCGGCGCACCTCACCCCACTGCGACCCGCGTCCAAACGCCGCCGCGCAGCCAGCAGCCGGCCCGCTCGCCCCGCCTCTTCCGCTCCCCGCCCCTCCGCTTCCGCGAACGCCGCGCGGCGAGCGCCAACGTACCTTAAGCTGCTGCGGAAAGGCGCGCTCGGTTTGCGGGCCCGGCCCTGGGGGCGCTCTGGGCCCTCTCTGGAGTGGGCGTGCCTGGGGGAGCGTGGAGTCCGTATTGGGAGAACCCGGGGACGGCTAGGAAAAGTGCTGAAGTGCGCCGCAAATCCACCCTTCCCCTAGAGGTTTTCTGAGAACCTGTTAGGGCCAAGGCACAGTGCTGAACGCGAGATGAATAGGCGCTGTCCCTGCCCCGGGAAGCTCACAGTCTGGTGGGGAGACGATGAGGTTACACCAGATTAACTAGGGGTGGTCAGTACACAGTCCTGGGAAAGCAGAGATGGTAGCCCTGATACTTCCTTGGTGCCTCAGGAAGACTTCATAAAGGAGGTAGCATTAGGGTCCAGACTAGAGAAGGACTGTAAATGAATGTAGAGTTTATTTTCCCCTTCTGTTTACTAATATGTGTAGGAGAAGAAGACATTTCCTCTACCCTCTCTGGGTCCTTCTGGCCGGACAACTAATTAAATTCACATGAACAGAATAACAGGAGAAAAATTGAACAAAGCTTTATAACACGAATACATAGGACAGGCTCAGGCGAACTGAGCAACTCTCCAAGATGGCGGAAGCTCTCACCTTAAATACCAGCCACAGCTAAACACAGAGGAGGATGTTGGGGGTGGGGGGAGTCAGTTATGGGAGATCACCAGAAAAGCACAGTAAACGCGTAAGATTATTATGCAGATTTAAGTCCTTGCCTTCTGCATTGATAAGAGTTTCTAGAGGTAAGGTCATCCCCCCTTCTTCCTGGTAAAGAGAGGGAGACACATTTACAGATGGAAATTTCCTTTACAAATGTAAATGTCTCTTAACAAAGGGTAACTTCTACTTCTCAGAGTTTCTCTCATATCTGCAGTTCTTTTAAAAAGTAACCAGCCCCAAATAATCTTCATGCCAAAAGGACATATCTTGGGGTGGCCAATTCCAGTCCCCCATATATGCCTTTTGCCTTCCCTCCTATTCTCTCCACCTCCTCCTTTAAAAAATAAAGGAAGGGGAGCCTTTATTCCTGATTCTGATGTGCAGTGATCCAGGAGGACAAGGGGTGAAGCATGATTTTTTTTTGCCATCTCTAGCCCTGGAATAATGGCCTCAGTTGTGAGGAATTTTGCATCTATTACAGCATAATGGACTCTAAATGGAGCCCTTGTGGTTTAGATCCATGAACATACCCATGGATAGAGGGAGTCAGTACTTCAACCTTCAGCAAAGACCTCTCTGTTCAGCTTCTCTGTTGGATCCAAAGGGCCTGGACACAACTAATACCCTCTTTGCTCTAATATACTGACCCAGCATAGCAGTCTTCCTTTAGGCCCATCTTAAAAAATGATGCCTTAATTCCCAAGTTCCAGTAAGTAACCTGGCCAAGGACCTTAGCAGTTGACCCCCTCCAGGAGTGATCCTGATAAGCTTTCATCAGAAACCGTAATAATGAACCCACTATAACTTAATTATATATATAAGTGATTATATTCTTATGCGTACCTCAGTATACCTCATTAACTCCAGAACCATACTGATGAATTTTGAATTTCTTATTTCCATTTTTTATTATAATCCAGTTATCCAGTAACATAGCCATCCAGTAAGATAGCCAATGGAAATAAACGAATGGGTTTCTGTTTATGGTGAAGATTCTTTTGTTCTCCATCCCTAGGTCTCATATGGTGAAACTTCCAGGGTTTAATTTCTCTGGGAAGGAAAGGAGCTCAGAGTTCTATACAGAAAATTCTTCAGCTAGAAGGATGTCAGAAAGATGGGTTTCCAAAGCCAACCGTCTCCTGTACCATGTGGATCTCTGCAAGCAGAGCCTCATCTTTCAATTTCAGCTGCATAAGAGGAAGGAAGGGAAGAACACGTCATACATGATATACCTATGTGTAGACCCCTCATTTGCAAGGCCACAGCTTAACAACATAATTCTTTGGGATGGGATTCATTCTTCCTATATCCCCTATTTCATGGTAACTCCATTAAAAGACCTCAGAATATTGTACTGGTTACATAGATGTGTTCACCTTGTGAAAATCCATCAAATGATATGAGCACTCATAATTTGTACACTTTTTTGTAAAATAACTTTAATAAAGTTTATTTTTAAGAGTTCACATTATCACCCAACATATCTTGACCAATGTATAAATTCCCATTTGGCAAGAGACAGAGAGGAATCAAAGACAATAGATCAGAACTTAATTTTAGAATCTAGATGTGTAGTAGAGACATTGAGTTTCCTACTGAATGCCCACGCTCTCCTTTCTTTCTTTCTTTTTTTGAGGAAGATTAGCCCTGAGCTAACATCTGCTGCCAATCCTCCTCTTTTTGCTGAGGAAGATTGGCCCTGAGCTAACATCAGTATCCATTTTCTTCTACTTTATATGCGGGATGCCTGCCACAGCATGGCTTGATAAGCGGTGCATAGGTCTGCACTTGGGATCTGAACCAGTGAACCCTGGGCTGCTGAAGCAGAGCACACGAACTTAACTGCTACGCCACTGGGCTGCCCCTCCCCTACCCCCAGACTCTCTCCTTACTTAATAACAAATCTTTTCTTTTGGAGCAGCAATGTAGCTAGCTAAAAAGCCACATTTCCTGCTTCCCTTGCAGCTAGGAGTAGTCTTATGACCAAAGTGGCAAATGAAATGTAAGCTAAAGTCATTGCTCTTTATTTTTTTTATTTTTTGAGGAAGATTAGCCCTGAGTTAACATCTGTGCCCATCTTCCTCTACTTTATATGTGGGGTGCCTACCACAGCATGGCTTGCCAAGTGGTGACATGTCCACACCCAGGATCTGAACTGGTGAACCCGGGCTGCCAAAGCAGAACGTGCACACTTAACTGCTGCACCACTGGGCTGGCCCCAAGTCACTGCTCTTTATAGGGAGGTGAAATAGCTAGCTTGGCCTCTTTATTCTTTCCCCCTTTTTGTTCTTTATTGTACCTGAAACATGGATATGGTGGCTGGAGCTACAATCACTGTCTTGCAACTATGAGGGATGGAAACTGCATGCTACGATGGTGGAGCAGAAAGACAAAGTGTTTGGGTCCCTGATGACATTCTGGCACCAACCCTGGACTTTCATTAAATGAGAAAAATAAAATTTCTAATTTGTTTACACTACCATCTTTCAAGTCAAATTATTTGCACTTCATAAATGACAGAATAGACCAGGGTTTGGCAAGCTGCTGTTCATGAGCCAAATCCAGCCTGCTGCCTGTTTTTGTAAGTAAAATTTTATTTGAAAGACAACCATGTTCATTTGTTTATTTATTGTCTATAGCTGCTTTTGTACTGTAAAGCTAGAGTGTAATAGTTGCAAGAGAGACTGTTTAGCCCACGAAGCCTAAACTGTTTCCTATTTTGCCCTTTACAGAAAATATTTGCTGACCCCTGGACTAAACCAACACCTTCATTTTACACATGAGGAAAATGAGGCCCAGAGGTTAGCACAGTAAGTTAATGGCAAAACGAAGACCATAATTCAGGTCTACTGACTCCCAGGCCATCTGTCTTTCCATTAAACCATATTCTCTAAAGAGGCAGAACATAGATCCCCCATGGTGGCATGTGGGTTATTATTGCAAACCCAGCAGTCCCATGATAATGGCAAAGATGGTAAGAAAAGACTCTAGAAAAATATTCACATCATGAAATGCTGTAAAGTCCTGAATTAAGCCAGCACCTTCCTCCCAGTTTCCTAGCCTCAGTAGAGTATAGACAAATAAACATAGAGTACAGTGAAGGCATCTGCATCATACCTTCATCGTGTACTTGTAGGCCTGCTCAGCTTCCAGTTGCCGACCAGCCTGAGAAAAAGAGCAGCAGCTGGTGATGATGATATATCATAAACATTATAGTAGGAAAGTACATTGCCACAACATTTCTACCAAAAGCAGAGGATTCCACACCTCTGAATTCAAAGGGGAAGCAGGAAAATGAAAGGTAGTAGGGAAAGTCAGATTCTTAGATATATATATATATGTAAAAAATCCCTTCTTCATTTCAAAAAGTTTAAAGACAATTTGACCTCTCATTTTTTTTTTCCCCTGAAAGCACCGTTTGTTCCTCTCAGGCAGGACAGAAGCCATTCTGTTAATAATTGCTAACATTTATATAGTGCTTACTTTGTAATTTACATTGTTTTAAGTACATACTTTCATTTTTAATCCTCAAAACAACCCTAAAGGATGACTACTATTATTTCTCATTCCCAGTTTACAGATAGAGAAACTTAGGCACAGAGAGGATAAACAACTTGCCAGAGTTATGAAGCTAATAAGCGGAGGAGCCAGGTTTTAAAACAATGCAATCTAGCCCCAGAGTCCAAGTTTTTACCTACTACACTTTATCCTGTCTCTATGCATTAGAAAAAGCAGATACTGGAATTCCATGTACATCTGGATAAGAGACAAGAATGCTAACTACTCTTCCCAGTTATTCTTGTGTGAAGCACTGATCTAGCAGTTCAATGAGAATAATATAAATTCACTATTATACTTCACAAGTTTCTGCATAACAAATTAGAGTATGAAAAGTCACTGGGGAAAGCTAGAATACATAAATATGAGAACCACAGAATGTTCAGGCTAGAACGGAGCTTAGAGAATATCTAGTTTAATTTCCTGATAAGTGCTAGTCCATGGTAAATTTTTACTGGTTCACAAAATTTCCATTATGCAAAAGACTTTCCTATGATATCTACACTTTGAAGTTTTCCCACCTGAAGTTCACTGAATTCCAGGGGCATTTTCCAGCACATCTTCCTTCCTATCACTATTGCCTTGTTTCACTTCTGCCACAGGGAGGCAGAGGGCCAAATGATGTGAGGATCCAGAACAGCCAAAACAATTTTGAAAAAGAATGACTTTTTTTTCTTTTTTGCTATCGTGGAAAATGCTGCAGTAAACATCCTTGTACATGTCTTCTGGTAATTTTCTTAAGAATGTATCTAGATATAAAATTGCTAAGTTGTAGATATGAATATGACTAGATAATGCTAATATTGTACTTCAAAGGAGTTATGCCAATTTACATTCACTAGCAATTATGAGACTCTTTGTCAATGTTGGTATTATCAGACTAGTTTTTGCCAAGACGGATGGGAATTTCCTTCACATCATTATTTTAAATTGTATTTTCATGATTACTACATATATTTGTTGACTTTTACAATTTCCACTTTGGCAGCTTGTATATTTCTATCCTATAACCTTTTTTCTTACCGTAGGAGCTATTTATATAATCTGGATATTAATTCTTTATTAGTTATAAATGCTGCAAATATTTATAATAAAGTCCAGAAGTTTTATTTTAGTGTCTTTTGTTATAAATGAGTTTCCAGTTTTAAAGTTGTTAATTTATTGATATTTTAGTTTTGGCTTGTGCTTTTACAGTCACAAGAAACCTTGCACACCCTGAGGACATAGAGGTATTCTCTATATTTTCTTCTAAACAGTCTAAAGTTTTAAGATTTAGGTCTTTAAATCAGCTAGAATTTTGTGTGTGTTTGTGGTGTGAGGTAAGGAACTAATTTTTTTTTATATATGGATAGCCAGTGACTCCACCTCTATTTACTGAGTAGTCCATTTGTTCCTTATTTTGGGAGGTTATATAGTCTTTTAAAAATAGCTTTATTGGGGGCCAGCCCAGTGGCATAGTGGTTAAGTTCACCTGCTCCACTTTGGCGGTCTGGGGTTCACAGGTTTGGATCCCAGGCATCTACTTACACATTGCTCATCAAGCCATGCTGTGGTGGCATCCCACATACAAAATGGGGGAAAACTGGCACAGATGTTAGCTCAGTGACAGCCTTCCTCAAGCAAAAAGAGGAAGATTGGCAACAGATGTTAGTTCAGGGCCAATCTTCCACACCAAAAAAAAGCTTTATTGAAGTATAATTTATATACCATAAAATTCACTAATGTTAAGCTTCAATTGTGCAACTATCATCACAATCCACTTTTAGAAGATTTCTATTACTCCTGAAAAGTTCCTTCATGGCTGTTTGCAGTCAATCCCCCTTCCTACCCTTGGCTCTAGGGAACCATTGATCTATTTTTGTCTCTATAGTTTTCCTAATTTCATACAAATGGCAGCAGATAATATATAATCTTTTGTGCCTTGCTTCTTTCACTTAGTGTAGTGTTTTTGAGGTTCATCTATATTTTTGCATGAATCATAATTTCATGTTTATTGCTGAGTAGTAGTACTCCATTGTGTAAATATACCACATTTTGTTTATCCATTCACTGATGGACATTTAATTGTTTCTGGTCTTTGGCTTTATTAAATGCTGCAATGAAATAGAGAAATTTTTGTGTAGGTATATGTTTTCACTATGATACCAAGAAGTGGAATTGCTGGGTATATGGGAAGTGTATGTTTAACATTTTAAGAATCTGCCAAACTATTTTCCAAAGTGGTTGTACTAATTTCCAATCCTACCAGCAATGTACGAAGGTTCTACTTTCTCGGCATCCCTGTCAATACTCGGTATTGTCAATTCTTTTGATTTAAGCCATTCTAGTGGGTATGTAGTGTGGTGTTAATTTGCATTATCTTAATAAAGTATCTTTTAAATTTTTTGACATTTCAGATTAAAGTTACAATAATAGTTCTCACCTCTCTGTATAAACACACACAGACACACCCATACATCAGTATATATGTTAACTTTTCCTGAACAATTTGAGAGTAAATTGCAGACGTGATGCAATTTTAGACTTTACTATGTTTTTTAAAATCACAGCCATTCTCTTTTTTTTCTCTTTTTCTCCCCAAAGCCGCAGTACATGGTTGTATATCGTAGTTGTAAGTCATTGTAGTTCTTCTATGTGGGATGCTGCCACAGCATAGCTTGATGAGTGGTGTGTAGGTCTGCACCCAGAATTTGAACTGGTGAACCCTGGGCCGCTGAAGCAGAGTGTACGAACTTAACGACCCGGCCACTGGGCCAACCCCCATGGCCATTCTCTTACAAAACCAAGTACAATGATCAAAATCAGGAGATCAGTGTAAATACAATACTAATTATTCTACTTATCTAATCTATAGAACTCATTCAGAATTTTCCAAATGTCCCAATAATGTCTTTTATAGCAAAAGA